CCAAGAGGGCGTCTTATGGTATTGATCTGGAGTGAAGCACAGAATCCCAGCACAGTCCGTCCCTGAAGGCCGCGTCTCTGTTTTCGGGTCCAAGGAGGAAAGAATCGACAGCCGTGAGCACGTGTTTGACTACCACAAATAACACTTAGTGCTAGAGCAGCTAGCCGAAAGAGTTGAAGATGATCTTATGTGGTCCATCAGCTCTGGGCAGTTTGTCTGGTAACCAGACTCCATGCATTTCATGCAAGTTTCGTACTTCTCAGGTGATACAGTGAGTAGGCATGCGAAATAGCCTCTAAAGATGGCGTTGTGTGAACAAACATCTACGACAATACAGCTGAAAGTGCTCCCATTTTAGAGTGAGTATTTCTTCCAGTTTATCAGTCACCTGCCTCATGGCTATTGCAACTTCGTATATATTTAAAATTGCCACCCATCTTGAATGTCTGCCTTCCCAGGCGACCGCCCCTTTTTGGACCAGTGTAATTGAATCCTATTTTGGTTTCACAGGACATCTATATTTTCCGTTTTCCTTATTGCGCAAATCGTTTTTACCGCTTCGGTTATACTTTTTTGTATCAAAACCTTGGTCAACTGTTAATTTGTTTTAATGCACGAGTTTGCGGCCCACTTTCGATCACGCGTTGACTGTTGATCCATATCGGCTTTGCTTGCCTTTTGGAGTACCTCACCGTTTGTCGAACATAGTTGAGGTTTGTAATTTTGTATTCCGTGTAACTACTTTCATTTTTATAGTACAGCACATTTGCGTAGCCATTCGTTCGGAGTTTTGCCGGTCTGGTTGCTAACCTTGGGGCTCGTTGCCCAACAATTCGAAGCGGTCGTTACAATGGTGATATTTCGATAATCTAACTTCTATCTTCCTTTCATTTCAGGACATCAAAGGACACGAAGGAATTCATACGCCTGCCAGCAGGAAATATGTACCTATCAAAAGAACCGATACAGTGCCACTTCTAATGCCGTCTATTTTGAATCTTTTCTCCGGCAGAGTTGAACAGGCGCTTATTAGGCGTCGTAAACCCCTAGCGTTAAATTGGTCGTGTGCGTCAGCTAGATTCGTGCAGCTGTCCCCTGTGCTTGGAGCAGGTTCCATATGATTAGTTAATCAATGCCATGGTCTCCCTAACGTAATTCGCAAGCTATAACAGACCACTCTGCTGTTTAACAACGAACTTGCACGATTTTTCGCCAATAATGAACACGGTCTACGCAATTTTAACTGGTAACAGTAGCTGTCACGCACTAATCGTTTACAGGAATCGCACCTCCGCATGTTTTGCATCCACAAGGGCCATGTAGATTTTAGAACATTCAGGGAATTATTTTGGCCGTAAAGCCATCTGAAAGCTCCGTCCACGGAGGGCGAATCACCTTTTTCAGCAAGTCGCGATTTCTTATTACATTAGGCGATGTATTCACAGTTGGTGTTCGTTGACTTTGAAGATTCGCCAGCCTAATGTACATAATTTGCAATAACACATGAACATATACAGTGTACACAGAAATTCTACGCTGTAAATAGGCAACCTTGAACATGTAGTTCTCGAGAAATCAACCCCATTTTGCAAATACTGAAAGGCGGTCATTCAAGAGGCATGCGATTCATGCAAAAGCCAGCATTCTGATTAGTTAGCTTGCACAGGCGCGCGCGTTCAAACCGCACTGTGCATGAGCCAGGGGAGAAACAAGTTAAATGGTTAAAGCGCATAAAATTAGGAATGATGGACTATCACTGCAAGCGATAAAAGAGCATGAGAGAATTTAAAGGATTTATTCCTGGAGATCTCAGGTTTTTATCATGAAATATTCACAAACTGACGTTTGTAGAATGAATAAGGAAACTCAACTTCACACAACGAATCCACATACTTTAAAATGCCCTTCATCGACCTGTCTTTCCCCACACAACCTGTTTCTAACTACCCGCATCACTTCTCGATATTTGGGTACTCGGGACTCTCGATTCAAACTTAAATATAGTCCTGGGTGTGTATACATATTCAAGAGTTTTTACACTTGCATCATTGAGTGCCTTCATCTTAGTTGGTCGTAGTTTATGCTGGATATGAATGTCAGCAAAAGCGGCAGTGGCCCATGCTGGAATGTTCCAACGTGGAGAGTCAAAGAGGAGTCGTGCGACGTCGCCCGACTTCGAACTGTGAGCCAGCGTGTCCAGGCGCGTCAAAGCACATCCTACTTGCCCATTGGGCCACGAGTGACCATTGGTGCAAACCTCTGCTAAACAGGTGGATCTCGTATGAAGCAGTCATATGTTATGGTACGGATCGCGTGACTCTGAACAGCCAGTCATTTGCTTCAGTTTGGCTTGTGCAGGAATCAACTTCCCATTCAAGATTGGGGGCGATTTTAAAAATACGCACAGTTGCAACAAAGGTCTGATAATCAGTGACGGGCATGGACGCCAGCCTAGTGGTTATGATAAGCGACCAATGAACACAAAACTCTGTAGATTATCAATATAAATAGCCATTGTTG